TTCAGATCAGTCTTAATCTCTTGGGGGGGGGGGAGATGCGTCTTATACTCCGAAAAATATGGCATATAATCCAAAACAAAAGCATTCTCCTACAGAAAATTATAATTTTGGAATTGTCATTAATTCCAAATTCTTATTTCCAAATTCTTTAACTTTCTAAAATCAACATTTTAATCACCCTTTTCTGGTTTATTTGAAAAGAACTGTTATTCAGTTCTTATATAGGTAGCCCTTGACTTACAACCATTTAATGACAATTCAAAGTTATGACAACCTAGGAAAAAGTAACTTACAACCTGTCCTTGAAGTGATGACATTCAACCATCCTCACAGTCAGGTATCGCAATTTGGGCACTTGGCCACAGGCTTGCATTTATGATAATTGAGGCATCTTGCAGTCACATGATTGTGATTTGTGACCTTCCTATCCAGCTTCCAACAAGCAAAAAAAATTGAGGGAAGCTGGATTTGTTCCATGAGAGCATGATTCACTTAATAATTATGTTACTCATTTAATTATGTTATTCATTTATTTAGCAACCACTGTAAAAATGTCATAAAATCAGAGCCAGCCACATCATGACTTCCCTAACAAGTGTATCACTTAGTGACTGAATTTCAGTCCTGATTTTGGTCATAAATCAAGCACTATCTGCACTTATAGTTAAAACTTCTTTTGCTGAGATTGAAGGAAATTATTGGATACTTTAAAGCATGTTGATCTAAATATTCCTAATTGCTGAAAAAGCAGTTAACAAACAATTGATTAGAAAAGGAAGTAGGAGAACTTAAGTGTCCTTTTAAAACGCCAAGCATGGTTTGAACCAGATGGAGATTTCCTCATCTTCCAGAGCTCTAACCAACTGGAGAATGCTGTCCTGTGACTCCTCGCCAGGTGAAACTGTCTGGAGCATTTGTGGGCAATCTCAAGTCCTCCCTTGTCTGAAGATAAATTACAAAGGCTCAGTCTACTTGCTAGCTATTCATTCTGCTGTGGTCAGCTTCATTAAAAGCAGAGCTATCTTTGGTTCATCTTATCCAGATGTCTCGCAGAGAAAAACATTCCTGAAAATATTTCCCCAATTCATCCCTAAGGGAAAGATGGTGGAGAGTAGAGTCCTCTTTTCCTTACTGAACACATGACACAAAGCAGAACATACACAACCCTCCATATGCTTTCCTATGAACACATAGACACAAATGCAACACAAGAAAAGAACAAACACCTTCCCCATGCACAGACACAAAATACATGTATTCATTTCTGTCAGACTCTCAGACGTACATAAACTCCATACACAACAAAGTTATATGCTTCCGCTCTGATTAATCTCTGGAATGAAAAATACATGCACACACATATATACCACCTTAAGGCCCCCTATGGCACCGTTCATAAAAGGGCTGAAAAAACTTCCAGACTTCAAGCTCTGTATAGTTTTCTTACCCTATTCCATGGATGCTGCTTGGAAAGCAACATTCCAAAACTTACTGGAGGGGGTAAGAAGAAACAGTTAATTATTTTCAACCAGGATGCTATTTATATGCAATCTGACCCTACATCTCTGTTTCCTTCCTAATCTTTAGGCCAGGAAATAAGGCAAGTTAGAGAAGACAAAGTAGGGGGGGGGGTCTTCTTAAGGAGCATATTAATTAATCTTAGAAAAACCTACTCCTTTTGATAATGCTATTTCTGTATCATTTGCTGCCTTGGGTGTGTATGAATGTTATGTATGCATGTATGTGTATGTGTGTATATGCATGAATATATGTGTGTATGAATATTATGCATGCATGTGTGTAAATGTGTATATGTGTGCATATGCATGCATGTATGTATATGCATGCATGTGTGTAAGTGAATGTTATGTATGCATATACACACACAAACAAGTTATGGAAAATGTAATAATGGTAATAATAAATGGAATACATACATTAAAATGTGAAACACAGTTATGCATATATCATATTCCTAATATAATATGAACGACTTACCAGCCGTTGTGGACTTTCCAACGCCCCCTTTACCAGAAGCTACAAGCAGCACTTGCTTAACTCCTTCAATCGGCTTTTGCTTCGGAAGCCCTCTAGCCATGATCTTGCTACGCTTGTCTTGGAGGACACCATCCTTCGTATTTGATGACTTTCAAGAAAAAGCAAGAATGTACACGTTCAAAAGCTTGGTCTACGGTATGCATTACAGTTTGCCGATTTGGGGAAAAAATTAGGAACCTAGAAACATGTCCCATCTCACAGTTAATTTCCTGCTATTCTTCTTGGACCTCTTAGAATTCCACAATATTGCTACATTACTGTTGCATATGATAGCAAGTAAGGTATCACACTTACGAAACGAGCGAGACAAAGACCTGCGCCTTAAAAACCTACCATTTTTTTCAAATTTGCCGCCACTAGGTTTAGCAGCCTTACGGAGAACAGATTGCCAACCATTTATCTTGTTCAAAATCCCCTTCAGTATTAACAGGAGCTATTCTCAAGCAGCTCCCCTACAGTTTTCTGAGAAGGAAACTATACTATGCAATTCACCGCGCAGGTGAATCTGACAGCTAGGAGTTAAAACGATAGAGTTTGCATTCTGCAAGGAGGTGCTCGCCTTAAGTCTTACAGGAAATGAAGGGAACCAAGCCGGAAGGGTTCCCCCGTGAGAAACTGTTAGGCACTTCCAGGCTCTTACTACATCATTTCCGGGACAATAAAGCTAGAGCGGTTCTTTTGTTTTTCTTTTTTTTTAATCTCAGGGAACCATAGAGCAGATTCTATTGGCTAGAACGGCACTTGCAACAGTAAAAACCCTTCCAGCGTTTCCTTCGCTCACTGCGCTATATTTCATACGTTTCTCAATCTTGCCAACTCAGCATAGTGGCTGATGAATTCTAGGAGTTAAAGCTCACACATCGTAAAGGTGCCAAGGTTGAGAAACATCGATTTAATGGGTTCTTTCCTTAAGGGTCTCAAATCTTTTAAAGATTGAGAGGGCAAAACCTTTTCCAGCTATTCCCACCACATATTAACAGCTGTGAAAGGATGCATACAAGATACAGCATCTTCATTGCTGTAAGGATGGAGACTTCCCCCACCAGATTTTCTGAAAATTGGAAAAGCAAACCTCCCAAGCGCCCAATAGGCATCTTTAGGACACAGGCACCTGTGGGACATGGAGGGAAGAGTCCCCTGTCATTCAAACCTCTTCAAAACCGAGTAAAAGACTTTCACCACTTTTCCCCAACGGGGTTGGAGCTAGTAGCGTTGGGTGCTTCTAGGCGATGAGCCCCTCAGGATTGCTCCCAATGCCAATCAATAATTAAAATAACACTGCAAGAGGTCAACCCCCAATATTGCTAATCTCTAAAACAGCATAGCATCCATGGCATCATTTTTTAAATTGCCTTTTAAAGTTTTTAGTTCTTTTTTATCCATCCCACCTTTTCCTACTCACACAAAAAGCAAATCACCTAGCATAGTTGTGCTAGTTTACTCAAGAAAGGAAATACGTTTTAAAAATGATTGGAACTAGTGCCTGCTGCCCCTTACTTTGCTTGGATGTAAAAGATGGAGTCACAAGCGACAGATTTCCCTCTACGTGACATTTAAACATAGCTCTTTGGTTAACACTGTTTTTCCCCATAGTAACTAGATCAAAGTTTGAGAAAACTATGTCCAAAATGAAGTTCCAAAAAGTCTGGGTCAGGTTCCTGACTCCTATCAGAAAACAAAATTCTTTTTTTCAGCTTCCTATTAAGCAGGGGAGACTACAGGGCATCCCTCATTCTATATCTACCTCCCCAACTGGTTTGATTCCCTTTCTGAATGGAATTTACCTAGCCCTCTTGAGCTCAAACTGGAGGTAGGCATGCCAATAAACACACAAGGGGGGGGGGGAGCCTTCTGTCAAGGAACCTTTATCTCCCTTTCGATTTCTTAAGCTACTTGATGCAGGAGTCATCTTTTACTCAACCTACAGCTTTGCCTTCTTTCTTTTCTATTCCTGAGAAATCCTTTTGACTCAGTAGAACTCTCTAGGTCTTCCTTTTGTTTTCCCTAGCTATTTCTTCTAGGCTTGTCTTCCTTCTGGGACAAAACTTACTTATCCCAGAATTCATCCTCTGCATGCATCTACCACCGCCACATCTTTTTGTATGTTTTCCAATCTCTAAGCTTTGTTTCTTCCTCTCCACACTATAGTGAGAATCACAAAGTGAGAACCTATTTATTTCATCTCATCATCAAGTTACCCATCTCCCCTTATAGCGCTAGCACCTGAATCCATATACCGTTTCACAGTGCTTTACAGCCTTCTCTAAGCAGTTTATAGTCACCATATTGCCCCGAACAATCTGGATCCTCATTTTACCAACCTCAGAAAGATGGAAAGCTTAGTCAACGTTGAGACAGTAGAGGATTGAACTGCAGGCAGCTGGCAGGCAGCAGAAGTAGCCTGTAGTACTGCGTTCTAACCACTGCACCACTGCTCATTGTACCTGAACTGTACACTTTGTTCTGTCTCCAGCCAATGACACGCCAGGCATCCAGATTCCTAGTATCCCAGGTGTTTTCTGCCTTTTAAACCAGTCTTTGAACCAGCTTCGCTCATTTCCCCAAATTTATTGCAATCCTCCCAGTTCCATAAAAATGCAGTCTCCATTTTCTCTTTCAATAATTTGGCTGTGTCACAGTACATTTAAGAGAGACTAAATAGAGTTGAGTTTAATAATCTTCCATAAATATATCTGATTTACAAAACAGGAGGAACCAGCTAGATTCTCTTGTGTTTTCAAGTTTTGTGAAATAATTCTAAATTCAGCCATTGTTTTCAATGGACGATTTGTACTGCTTTCTGGTTTTGTACATTATGTGAAAGGGGCAGAGAAACGAATCCTCTCTCAACGAAGAGTCAAGGGCCATGGACTACAAAGAAAAGAAGCGGGAGGAGTTTGTGTCTTCTTAGAGGAGGAACTGGAGGAGGAGTTTGAGAAGACGACTGGACGCTGAGTTGCTTGTTCCTGTGTTTGTTTGCGTGCGTTTATGGCTGACTCAACCCCGAGTCCACTAGCTCGTGTGCTATTGCAACAGTGTCTGCACGCGCAGCTGCAAGTGAAGCCTGCGGAGCCGGATTCGGAAGCCAGATGGGTAGAGGTAATATTAGCATTGCAAATCTTGCGGGTTAATGGCCAAATTCTCTTCGCTTTGCTGTATGCTTGTATCACTCTCGTCCCAATTTCTCTACAGACCTGTCTCCTAGATCCGCAAAAATCCGGAGTTCATATCTCTATCTACAATACCGCAGATTAGATTTTCATATTCTATATAATCTGCCTTCCTGTAATGAACAGGAACTCATAATGTGCATTATTGCAGTAATCCGTAACGAATTTTCGTAATACGGAAGTATTTCATCTGGTTATTAACATGCCTGCCCTCTGGTGCCTAAACTAAATTATACTAGAAATATTTCCGGCACTGAAAAAAATATTTAATGGTTTAAGGATTTTACCGCATATGAAAATTCGCTTGCTTTGACTAGTGTGACATCTACTGACATAACGCTTTAAGATTGTACGTGTCTCTTCTGCATCTTGTACTAAACCCACTGAATGATATTTATTTTCAAAAATACGTAGGCACCTTTCGATTTTTCTTATGCAGTTGATAGAAACAGCAGCCATATATCTATTCTGAATATATTTCAAAATACGTGTAAAAATTTGATACAGGTCTTCAGGACATCTGGAACATAAAAATATTTAGAACTTTGTCACTAAAATATATTTCTAAATGTGTAATATTTGAAATTTCATTAGGGAAGTCTTCTAATTTAGTCTAGCATAAAGGAGTGTTTGTTTTAAAAATGTGTCTTAAGTGAAACTTGCTTTTAACATGCTGAACATTGAAAACAGTCATACAAACATTTTATCAATGTATTTTGAAATAAATTATTTTTCCTGTGATGAAAGAAATGTCCTTCTGCATTTGGCTCCAAGTGGGGGGAAAGACACTAGAGACATGGAAGCTACTTGGAAAGATGGTTTATTGGTGGACAGGACCACATGGCTTGTGTCCTGAACAGAAAAGGTGATCGCATGCTTCAATGTTGGTGGAGAAAAGAGAAGGACTGAGATGCTGAGTCCATGGTTTTATCCCCCTCTGGCCTTTGATCTTGAGCTTGTATTCTGATTGGTTGTCAGACTCCCATGGGGCCATGCAAGGGCAACTCTCTAGGCTGCGTTTTGAATCCAGGTTTAGAGTTCTCAGATGCCATGTGGTGAGTTGGGTAAAGGGCCAATATTATCATGCCTTAATCCCATCACTCTGGAGCTGAAGGGGAGAACTCTTTATAATGTAAAGTAGCCTTAAGCCCATTGACAAAGTGGGGATGGGCAGGAAGCTACAGGGAGCTATCCCGTCTTTTAAAACATGTTTCTTTTTTTTCACATCCAGATAAATATTCTGCCTTTTCAATATTTCCTAGGACATTTCATTTTTCTGGGAGAGACCTAGGTGATAACTTCCTACACCTGAATGCCCAGTAATCAGAAATCAAGCTTTATTTAACTTTTATTAATAATTCAATATATCTTTGTCATTTTATATAGATCCAACGTGGTCTTATTATCTACGTATGTTTCTTCAAAGGGGCTAGTGAAGATATTATTCCCCAAATGGGTAGGTTTTCCTGATAAATTATTCTTAGAACTAGTGATTAAAAACAGTGTTTATTGTGTTTGTGTGCAAATAAAAGCTTGTTCTGTAACCACAAGAGACATTTCCTTCTAAATTGCAATTGTACATATAGTATGTCCAGTTGTTGTTAATAGAGACAGCAAACATTAATAAAATTCTTATATTTATGTTTATACCTAAGTATCATTTATATGTAAATTTATTTTTTTAACAAAAATATATTTTAGGTTTTGCTTTGGAAATAAAAAAGGGAAGTGACACAAAAGTAACATTTTATTTATTTTTTTAATTTGTTTATTTATTATTAATTTTATGCTGCTCATCTGTCAGGTGATTCTCAACTGCTTACAGGTTATAAAACAAGAAGAAAAAAATAGTCAAAACATTAAAACTACACATATTAAGCTTTTAAAAACTATACTAAAACCAGAACTAAGAAACAGATGGGACCAGGATGAGATTTTCTTATCTCATCAACTACTTCCAGCAGTTTACTGTGCTGCACTGTACAATTACTGTACATCACCTTCTAAAAGTAGAGATAAGGCCAAAATCCTTGTTGCTTCTGAGACCCTATATCCAATATTGTATCAGCAAATGCTTTCCATCCAGAACCACCCTTTGGTTAACTTTGTAGGTGCTACCAACACGGATGCTAAATCATAGGCACACAACATACTTACCAGTGCCAGAGAACTCAGTAAACCTGAGTAGTCGAATTTTCACTATATCCAAGCCTGCAGAAGTTAGACAAGTTTATCTTTTTATAATTTTTTTAATTATTGTTTTGACAAAATCAATTCCTACATAATAAATTGAATTAATTAATTTATAATTAAATAAATAGGAAGTAGTCCTTAGAAACAGTTTAGTTGGACCTTACTTCAACTAGTAAATAAATATTGAGAATGACATCTCAATATTACAGTTTTTTGAAAAAGGGTCATGGGACTTGTTTGCTGGATGGAAACTTTTAGAGAGAAGTTTAATCATTAGACTGTGTAGAAAAATAAATGCTTCAGGGAGCCAGTAGAGGGAACTAGCATATAGATAAATATTTTATTTGAGCTGGTATAGGAAACTTTATAGGACTCACATTTCAATTAATACAGTATGAGCTGCATTTGTATGTACAGTATGTGCTGCATTTATACAGTACAGGGCGGGGCATAACCTTTTCCTAGGGGGTCACAGCAACACTTGTAATAACAACACAAATAAAATATTTATCTATA